AAATTGTATGTACCCTTTCTTGATCTAAAGGGAGCCTTTGACTCTGTAGACAGAGTCCTTAGGAGATAAACTCCAAAATATGGGCATAGATAAAAGACTTCTGTCTCTCATAAAAAAATGTACACACTGGCACTACCTGTCAAGTTAGATCTTCTTGGAAGGGTGAATTAACCAGTTTCCAACTAACAAAGGGGTGAAGCAAGGATGCATCTTTGCTCTCTCCTTGTTCAACCTTTTTATGAATGATCTAGCTCCTTATTTAGTGAATGCGGATGGTCACCCTCCCAAATTACGGGTATATTCTGTTTCGCTACTCCTTTATGTGGATGATGCCATTATTATCTCATGCATCTGTCCTGGTCTGAAATATTTGATTAATAGATATTTATTTATTTTATTTATTTATTTATTGGACTTATATAGCGCCCCATAGCGCTACAAGCACTCTCCAGGCGGTTTACAATTTTTAATTATACAGGCTATATTTGGACAAAAACAAAATGCGATTGAATTATAGCAAGTCTAAAATATTAGTTTTTGCTAAGTCCTGGAAATTACAGTGGAAACTAAATGGTAACAATATCAAACATGTCAAACAGTACAAATATTTAGGTATTATTTTTCACTATAAACATTCCTGAGTTTCTCACTACAGATCAGTTTTAAACACAGCCAGGCTTTCTGTGCTGTCTGTACTTCGATTTTATTACAACACTGGCAACCGATATGTCCCGGCAGCCCTATAAGTTTTTAAATCTAAAATTACCTCACAAATTCTATATGGCATCCCAATTTGGCAAAATGCCATGGATCGCTCAATTGAACAGCTATAATCCCACTTCTTACTTAAGGTATTAGGCCTACCGAGGCATGTTCCCTACTCAGTACTCTGTCTTGAGACCAGACTATCTACACTGGAAATGATAGCACAGCTGAGAACTTTTTCATTCTGACTAAAATGTTTATAACTCTGACCAAAACAGCTTATTATATCAGCTTCTGCAAGATTCTGAGCCTCCTTTTGGGTCTACTTTTTTAAAAATTGAAATTGATTGGCCTAGACGTTGGCTCTTTAGATTCACTAAGTCTAGAGCTAGCATTTCAAACTGTTAAGAGATTAATTATGGACAGTGAGTTACAGCAGTTATGGAGCGCAGATGATAAGTCTTGTTTTCCGTTGTCTCACAACATCCCCTTTAAAATGGGACAACCAGCTGCTTTCCTCATGCTGTTTAAATGTCCACAAAACCACAGATGTAAAGTCATGCCTGGTGCGATATCATATGGTAGGTACTGTACAGTATAATGGAACCCGTTATCTTGAAAGATATTGCCCATGTGAGCAGGGTGCTTGGGAAACCCTCACTCACATGCTCTTGCATTGTCTGTTTCATCAGGACTGTCACAAAAAGTATGTCACCTCCATATTATTAGAGCTGGAGGGGAAATCTGATCAGGACAAGGTCCGTTTTATGTTATCACTGGAGGTGGTCAACATTATGGAACAAGTAGCTGTTTTTCTTGGGTCAGTTGTTAGAAAGCGAAGCCCTGACCTAAAATGGATGTATTTGTTTCACACTCTCTGTGAATCCAGAAATCTAACAAACTTCCTTGACTATGTTTATTTTATATGCCAATAGAGGTTGTTTTATATATATAGCATAAACATGTTAAAATATTAGGAGATTAAGTGTTGGCAGTAACACTTCTACAGCACTATGTCTATTGCTGCCAAGCGAGGCTAGAGAGGTAATATATATCCACACACACTTGGCAGTGGGTTGATCAAACAGGCCTCCAGTAGTGACAAGTGTGAGAAATGGGCCTCTTTGTCAAAAGCATTGGGTTGTTAAACCCTAGGCAAGGTTGTAGAGGGAAATCTGGTGTTTCAAATAGCTTGGCTCTAAGTTGTAGAGGATTTGATACGCTATAACTAATCCTTTGAATGGTGCCTAGAATTGATTGGTAGGCTGTAGTTTCCAAACGCTTTGCAAAGCTTATTCCACGTAGATCATGTATTACAACAATAAAAACAGAAGGGTTGTGGCACCTTAAAGACAAACTGATTTATTTTTAGGGTGAGTTTTTATAAATTACAATTTCACTTCCTCAGATAGATGGTGCATGATAATATAGACAGCAGACTTATATGCATAAAATACAGTATATAAAACTCCGGCCCATTAGCAATGTAATTGTCACCCTCTTTTCCCCATCTTACTTGCTTCCCGCCCCTCTATGGTATGCTCTGTGACCTATCTGTTGTGTTCCATATGCCTGGGACCGTGAGTTGTATCCATGAGCATTTTTACTGAAACAGAGTAACATGGCTACCTCACTAAAAACCACATACACCATGTTTTAGTAGGCCAAACCACATGTAACCAGCTTTGAAACAAGATATGATAAAATGTTTCCTCCATAAACTCATCCCTTCAAGTCTTCCTTGCCTGAGTCAACAGTCATTTGGTTTGATGCTCAAGCATATACTGTATTCTAAACAAAATTCTTCCTTTATTTTAGAAATAAATTATCTTTAAAGTGTACAATTTTTTTCTATCATTGATGAATGCTACTTTTCCTGGCAAAAATTAGAATGTAATGTGAACTGCTCAGAGAGCATTCATACTAATGAATGAATGGTGTAGAAGTTGAAATAAATAAATAAATAAATAAATAAATAAATAAATAAATAAATAAATAAATAAATAAATAAATAAATAAATAAATATCTACTCTTATCAGTTAATTTGCCCTCCCTCAAGGTCAGAAGCAGAAGATGGCAGACCCTGAAAGCACAGTCATAAACACCAGTGTGAAACAGGTAAGGCAATAAAAACAATTGAACAATAGTATTGAACTATGGTAGCAAGAGACCCTGGAGAATTCTGCTAGTCAGCGTAGCCAATATACGTTTATGTATGTATGTATGTATTTGTTATCAGTTAATTTGCCCTCCCTCAAGGTCAGAAGCAGAAGATGGCAGACCCTGAAAGCACAGTCATAAACACCAGTGTGAAACAGGTAAGGCAATAAAAACAATTGAACAATAGTATTGAACTATGGTAGCAAGAGACCCTGGAGAATTCTGCTAGTCAGCGTAGCCAATATACGTTTATGTATGTATGTATGTATTTGTTTCTATTCGCTCATTCTGAGGGGTGGGGGGGAACTTAACCTAATATTAGTGCAGAGATAATGGCTTTGATTGATACAGATCACAGTAAATTGTGAGGCCATCCTGGGTGCTCACTTGTACAGTCAAATTGATTTTTCAGCCCATGTTGCTTTTTAAATGTGTACCTCCTCACCCTCACACACAGCCAGCTAAAAAATTAATCTGGCCATACGGTGGAACAATTCTATGAGGACTTAACTTGGCATAGTTTCGTACTCTGGCATATCCTTTGCATGCCCCAAGTTTCAGGTTCATCCCCAGTTCAAACAATCTGTGAAAAGAGAGACTCTGCAAGACAGAGTAGACAGTATTGAGTTAGATGGATGAGTGGTCTGGCTGGCTATAAGGCAGCTTCTTGTGCATTTCCACTTGTGTGTATGCAATCTCTATTTTAAAGAGAGTTGAGAAGGTAAACATGAGAAGGAATTAAGTGTCGTGAAGTTAAGTGTAGTTTTAATGGGCCATATGTTACTGAGGTGTCCTTTGCTATGGAAGAATACATTCTGCACATGTGTAAAACTGTGTGGTGGCACGGCTCTTGGTAAACAAAAACCTAGTGGTTCAAAACTCTGGCCAAAACTAGTCTCTTGATTGGCTGGGTACTAACCAATGAAAGCCAGAGGCAGGGCTTTTAGCAGAGGAAAGTGCTCACCTCAATGTGGACAGTGGCTTTCCTGTGGCCAGAAATCATCTGAGGAATGAAGGGGAAGCCATATTTGGTATTTAGAACAGCCTGGAGTAATCAGGAAGCTGCTTCAAAACAACTCTCTTTGTCAGTCTTGTGGCCTTCCAGATATTGTTAAAATGGAACACCTGTCATTCCTCTCCATTGGTTATGTCAGCTAGGCCTGATAGGGAGCTGCAGTCCAATAAAATGGTGAGGTGCATAATGTCCGTTTAAGATCCTCACTCACAAGACAATTTCTCTTTTGAAATCTGAAAGGCTCCTTTTCACTTGAAAGTGTATGTCAGTAGGAGAAATGGTTATCATCAGAGGGTAGTAATGGACAATACTATGTAATCCTTACCATTGCAGTAATTTTGCTTCTAAAACCCTGTTCATAGTAGGCTTTTAGAAGCAAACATAGGGTTGCAGTCTGATGTGTACCTCACACGGGCAAAGGCAGGAGTACAGGGATTGGTTGAGTCTTCTTTTTTACTCAGTCTATTGAGCAAGCCTAACCTAGAGGTTGTTATAAATCCAATGTACCACACAATTTGCTCTGGTTTGTTTCAGTTGAGAAAGTTCCCTTCTAGCTGATTTCCTTGTAGTTCGCTCCTTGAGCAGCAAGAAACAATAGACTTGAGTCCTGACACCATTGTCAAGTCAGCCTGTGGTCTGATGGTAGAGGAGATGCCGTACTCCAAAATTTCACACCACGAGGCCTGTTATTTAGGTGTTAGCAGCACTCCATCACACCTCCACTACCCACTGAAGATACAGTATAATTATAAGGACAGCTTGGCTGAGTTGTCAGGCTGCAAATCTTCTGGGCAGTTAGATTTCCAAGCAGATGGAGGTATGGAGTGATGAGAGTATCTTATGATGGAATTACATTAAGTACAACTAGCATAGATTTGATGAGAAGGAAAATATGGAAGAGGAGATAGACAAGTGCTGGTTCCCATTCCTTCCATCACAGGTTCTCCTGCTTGATCCATCCTAACCAGGTCAGCTCAACCTGCACCTTCTTCTTGTGTTTCTCCATTTCAGAAAGACCCCAAGGAAGCACTGGTTATTGCTGTGACGACAAGAGCCATTTTCAACCTGGAAAAGGAGCATGAGATCTTCTTGACAAAGGGCAAGGAAGAATACGTGAAGCATCAGAAAGCAAATGAAAACAACCCCTTGGAACCAGGGACAGCTTTTGCTTTTATTCAGGTAAAAGATCAGAGCAAACCAGCACAAAACATTTGCTGCCTAAGGCAGTAATTACAATGTGAAGCTAAATCGCAAATTGATTCATAGCCCTTTTCCCACCTATGTTCAAATCAAATGATCACACAGAGACTGTGGATTAGTTCAGTACCAGTGTCCACACAGGCCCTTCAGTTCGTTGCAGTTTATCCACATCACAGCCCTTTCGTACTGCCTTCTGCTGATCCCTGACTCTCCTTTTATGGTTCATTGAAAAGTGGGTTGGCTCCTTTACAGTGTTGTTGTATGGTGCTAGGGAAAAGGGACAGTTTTCCAAAGTATTCCATAACATACAGATACTGTAGTGCAACACAGTTGATTCTATTTCATATCTTTTTTTTTTTTGTCTATGCAGAAGTGATCTAGTGCTAAACTGGTATGTCAGTGTAGTGATAAGGTGATCTAGCACTAAACTTGGTAGTTTTTTTTTAACAAAACTTTAAAAAACCTTTGAGGCAACTAGAGAGAAAGATCGTGAGATGTTGGTGTTGACCAAAATATCATACCCAGCTTAGTACAGTATATCACCAGAGCAACACCCACAGAGTCCCACCTTTCATCCTTTGGGAAAACGATAGAGCTGATCACATGAGGAAAAGTCTGTCTGAACTGTTCTAGCTTGAAAAGAATTGAAGCACTCAATGACATAGAAAAAAATTCCATGTAAGAATGAAAAAGAGTCAAACTGATTTGACTTGGCCTTTGCCTTGTGATTTTTAAAGAAAAGCAGATTTTTCTACTGTATTCCCGGAATAAATCCACAGTATTTGACTGTGTATTTGCAGTTTAAGACAGAAGGAAAAAAGATGCCCCTTTATTTATTTATTTATTTATTTATTTATTTATTTATTTATTTATTTATTTATTTATTTATTTATTTAT